TGATACCTGGACATGAAGGCCTTGTAGTTAGAGATGCGTATATCCAAGGAGAAGGCCGCATAGCCCTTCTTTGCTAGGCCATCCAGACTGCACCCTTCCTTGTCCATGATCGAGTTAGGTTTAGGTTGCAGGTATAGAATTGGGAGGGATTTCTCACACAGCTTATAGGTGGAGTCGATCCTGCGTGATAGTGAGAGTATAGCTGCAGGGGCTCTCCATGATAGCTGGGCTGTATACAGTAGGGCAGGAAGCAGAAGGAGTGAGGCTGACAGTGAGTAGCCTGAGGGCAGGGAGGCATAACCAGGATCTGCTTCGGGCTCTGCAAAAGTAGACGCCTGAACTCCCACCTTGTCTGCCATGCAGATGATGAGGTCTGTGAAGTGCTCCTCCCCCCCACCCCCAGTGACATAAGAGGGTCCTGCTCCAGGGCCTGCACATCAGGAGAACAGGGAGGGGAGGTCAGAGATGGCGACCAGGACTGTTGGGGAGAGGGACTCTGACCTGACTCCCTTGAGAAAGACCAGTGGTGATCAAAATCGCTGCACACTCAATGAGATGCTGAAGAGGTCAGGCGCTGCTCTGAAGAAGAGTGGGAGTGCTGGCAGCGATGAATGCTGCGGTCCCAGGAGGAGTCCAAGTCCTCAGAGTCCCTCCTATACTAGTGCGCCCTTCGGTATCCATGGGGATCTTGGCACTCAGGGCTGGAGGTGGAGTCAATGTCCCTCTGATGGATGGGTCTTGCTGGTGTGGTGGGTAGACTGGCCCTCTTCCACATAGGAAGATGCCTCACGCTGTTGCTCCAAAGGGTGGCCTTGGTCTCGATTGGTACCATGTGATTCTGCATGCTCCCAGTGTCGAGATTTCATGGCAGGTCGGCATCGGGACTCAGTCACTGGCGAAGAGTGGAGGTGATCAGCATGGGGCTGTCGTCAGCAAGATGTAAGTCCAGCAGGTCCGTGTGGACAATAGTGCAGTGGCATCTGCATCGGGAGGGTGGTGGTAGACTGGGGGAAGGCTCCGTGGAGGAGGAATCAGAAGAGGAGAGCTTAAGTGATTCAATGTAGCACCTCCTCCATTGCTTTGTTGTCACAGCTGGTGGGTCTGAGAAGTTGTACTGGTTGCATCATCACATCAAGGCCAGCAACCAGGACAAGGATCCATTCCAACTGGGGAAGGAGGAGCGTGACAATGGTGGGGGTCCCACAGAGGAGGTGGGCCGGGCAGTGAGTGTGGAGGGTGATGCCTGCTCATGGACGTGTGGAGGGACTGCAGATTGGCAGTCCGGCGATTCTGGTGGCAAGGAAGGTTGGATGTGTCCTGCAGGCGATCCGTGTGTGGGGGTGGCCTGCAGCAAAGAGTGTGAGTGTCCACCTAGAGAATTCACCTCTGGGGACACAGGAGTCTGGTCTAGGGGTACCCCAGGTCTGGTGTGCACGGGCAGTCATTGTGAGGTGAGGAGATCAGTGAGGGGGTGGCAGCCTAGCAACACAACGCTTCCTGAGCTTGGAGGTTGTCACAGCCCCAGATGGTCCTTCCGAGGTGGCAGAAACAGCGGCCCTCTTCCTCTATCACCTCCTCAGTGGAGGGCAGCTTGTCAGTGTCTGATTGTGAAGGTTCACCCACATTCAGGGCATGCTTCTGGTGTGTCTCTTTTTTGAATGCCTGGCAGTGCACACAGGTTTTGACCATATATTCCTCTCCCAGGCAAAAGAGGTCATGGGAATGGCTATCCGCTGCAGGCATCCGGGTGGCAGAGGAGGAGCAATGGTGAAAGCCAGGGTCAGCCATGAGGGCCAAGCTGAGGAAGCACATGGAGTAGAGGTCAGGAGCATGACGGAGAAAGAGAGGAGTGGGAGGTGCAGGAAGCAGCCTCAGCAAGCGGGCGGAGGTTCGAGGAGAAATAACAATGAGAAGTAGAGGTAGAGGATTTTTAAAAATTATATAAGAGGCAAAGAATAGAAAAGAGAAGAAAAACTAAAGGTAGCTGAGCGGAGAAGTTCCAATCTGTGAGATGACTGTGTTTGCGGTCAAAAAGGAACTGAGAGACTGGGCAGACTTACAAAAGGGGCATGGTGGGGGTTCCCGCCCACTCCATTCTGCTGAGCTTTGGAAGTTTTTGTCACCGATCCAGGTCTCATGCTCCACGGCAAAGCCCGTATGTGCTCATATATGGGATTGCATAGAGACCACAAAGAAGTACTACTGGAGTTAGCTGTCCGGTCCCCGCCACCCCGAGTTTCCAAAGTCCAGCAAGACAACCAGGAGTTTTTGTCATAAACATTTCATCCTGGTGGGTATTTTTCTGGAGTGGTATACCATCATCCACTGACTCCAATTTCAACCAGAATTTTTAAAAGTATTTTGTTTCTCATATTGTGTGAGCCACCTAGGAAGGCCACTCTGGCAGTTATGGGTGGCATATGAATAAGTGAACAATAAATAAATCCCAAAGCCAGAACAGTTTAACATTGCTGTGCTAGAGAGAGAAGAGAACACTTCTTCTCTTCTCATCCTTGAAATTCTCTCAAGGTTCCCCATGCAACATGTAAAATGTATGCTTTTATTTTCTTCTAAAAAATCTAGCATGGAAATATTTATCCTCTGGATCAGGGATATGCAGCATGCATTTGCTCTGTGATTGCACGCTGTATGCACCTCATATTCTTAGCTCTGCAGTTCAAATGATCTCAGAAAAGTTTAAGAATGGAGAATTTCTTCAGTGATAAGCAGGGAAATTCTGTTCTTAATCTGTGGTCAGTGATTAGAGAGAAGGGATTTAGAGGGCAATTCAATGTGCTCTGATGCAAATGCACATAAGATTCCAAGTTTGGAAGCTTACATGCATCGAATACCAGGGATACAAAAATCAGGCTGGAATCCATCTTTCTTGCACTTGCTGGATTTCTTTCCCATACGCAACCCTGGCCAGAAGTGAGCCAAACTAATCAAGTCCATGAACACTAGGAAACACTGGTGGCTTTTTTGTACAAAATGCATAATTCAGTGTACAAAGCATGCAAAGCCAGCAGGTCAGGTGTGCAGAAGCAGAACTCTACTTGTACAGCAGTGTGCAACTGGTCTCATGGTCTCACTTGGACATGCTTCCTGCCAGATATATGTGGCATCCCGCCTGATGTCCATGTGAACAATTGGCATGAAGCAGAATTAGGGCAAACAGAAAGTGGAATGGAATCTGGGGAGCCAAGCCAAGGGAATCCAACAGATGCCCACCACCAAACTGGATTTCTCACAATGCTATCCTGGATTTCTCACACTGCTATCCAATGCATGGTGCAAGTCATTGTGGCAGCAATTTCTACTTCTGCTACACCTTGCTCCCTGCATTTCATCCATCTACGCATAAATGAAGCACTGCAGAGGGGAAGTGAAGAAAGTTGGGACACCATCTGAAAAAGTGTAAGCCATTGGCACCAGCCTGTTCCCCACCCCTGCACACACCCTTTCCTGCTCTCTGAAGGCTGATCTGCAACCTTAGAGAGCCAGCTCTCTAAGGTATAGTTCTTTCTGCACCAGCTGTGAGGGAGTCCAAACTCCAGGGTTACAGGACCTTGAAGATGGAGCTCCAAATAATCCTGCTGTCTCCCAGATAATGCTGACAGGCATAGGATTGAACCCTTAAAGAAATTTTAACTTTATCTTGCTGGATATTTTAAGTTTGAATACTTTACATGTCTGAAAAGGGCAGCCAAAATCATAAACAGGCTGAAGCAACTTCCCTAATAAAGAGAAATCACAATGTCTAGGATTCTTTAGCTTAGAAAAATGGTGCAGAAATGTAGAAAAGTATGCACGCTGTGAATGGCAAGACATTTTTCTCCATCTAATTATACTACTACAAGCTGGAAATATCCCATGAAACTTAATGGTGGGAGATTCTGACAGATGAAAGGAAGTACTTCTTCACATAGTGCTTTATTAAACCATGCAATTACTAATGCAAAAGTGTAGAGACAGCCACAGATTTAGACAGCTTTTAAAGGAGATTACACAAATCAATGGAGTGTAAGGTGATCAATTGCTACTAGTCCAAATGGCTATATACCAGCTGTGGGATCAAAGCCAATATGACTCTGTATACCATTAGTTGGGAAACACAAGCAGGAGGGTACTATTTGGTGCATATCCTACTTATATGCACATCCTACATTTGGCTTTCCATAGAGAGCTGCTTGGTCATGTGTGAACAGAATGCTGGATCAGATAAGATTACAGTGATACCTCGGCTCACGAATGCCTCAGTTCACGATCAAATCAGGTCGTAAACAAAAATGTAAGAAACATTTTTACTCAGGTTGCGAACTCCGCATCGGGTGACAATCGCGTCCATCCACCCCCCCACCCCAAAAGTGCCCATGATCGCACCTGTCTATGACTGTGGTTGCACTCGTGCGGGGAACACGGTGCGTTCGCGGTCATGCTGGGGGGATAGATGGCTATGCTCGGGGGGGGGGACGCGAGATGGCCGCAATCTTTGCTGTCCTTTGACACTTTGCTTCAAATTTTTGTAATTAAAAAATAGTTACAGAATGAACTTTATGGGGAAATCTGACTTGGCTCACAACCAATTTGGGTCATGACCAGAATCGTGGACTGGATCAAGTTTGTGAGCCAAGGTAGCACTGTAGTTTGATTCAGCACAGCTCATAGACATGGCATTGGGTTATGCTTTGTATGCATGGAAGCTGTTGTATTTGGATTTACTCTGGAGTGGACACACAAAGAATTGAGCTGTACTTTGAAAAGTTGATAGGAAAATGTTAAAATGTTAAATATAAACCCTAAGAGTTACAAGTTGTGTATGCGTGCATGTGTATGCATTTGTATATGCATCTGTACCTTCCAACATATACCAGATGTTGGGATGCTCTTTTACCATACAAATAAATGTTACATTTCCAATTCTAACAGAAATACCAATCTAGTGATCATGAAACAAAAGCAATGTTTTAAGCCATTAGATGAAAGGAAATACAACTTACCTTTTCTTCATCACCATGTACACTTCCCAAAGGCTCAAGACTAACAGTTCTCCAGCTGTTAGGAAAAAATTCCTCAGTGCAGAATTATGATAAAAGAACTCCTCTCTATTGCATTGTTAAAAAAATCATGTTGCTCAGTAAACCTTGCAAATACACTCATTCAGTCTAATTAATTAGTAAATCTTTTGCAGGTTCACATAAGTCTCTCCTTGGACCAGATCAGTACTTTATTTATGATCAAGCATTTCCATACTTTGGGCAATGCTTCCTCCTTGTGTTACAAGGCTGCCTGCTTATGGGCTATATGAGCTATCATTGGTTGACTGTGTAAGGAGACATCAGAATATGCTCCTCCATCTTTTGTTCCATTATTTTTAGCTTTGCTAAAAAATAAAATAATATAAAATAATATAACTCTTATTTTTAGTTTTGCTAAAAACAATAAAACAAATTAGGTTTTGCTTCCTTTCTGCCATCAGTGTTCTTAGATCAAGCATTATATTCTCCTGCTCATTTTGTTTCGTACTTTGTCTGTTTCAAGATACAGAATCATCAAAAGCCCTTATAATCCAAATGTATACTTAATTACAACAAATGTCAAACAAATGTTGCAAAAGTCTGAAAACAGATATTGTGATGGCTCTAAATGGGACCTTCAGAATTCAATGATGTATGTTAGAAAATGTGGGAAATACCTGTTTACAGACACTGATAAAATGATTATAGGCTTGATATTTACATATGCATTGTGACAATGTACATAACATTCTGGACATTCAATATACTAACTATGTCTCAGTTAGCTACATTGTGTTTCAGTGCAGCACTACATTAAAGAAGTTTAATGTAAGGCAAATATCCTCAGGTTGAATTTAAATGTACTAAAGCTGCAAACTAGTATTTGCTAACTTTCAAGTAAATCTCATTTTACTTTGTTTATTCTTGAACAAAGATGGAGATTTAATTCAGTCAGTAGTAATTAGTATAGCTTATTGCATATTACTATTTTTATTTTACAACCCTTCTCAATCATCTTTTTAGCTCCAAGTATGTGACACAGTCACAAAGTACACAATCTTTCGATTTGTGATTGATATCTTTTGTCTCAGAACATGAGTTTTCACGCAGAGCTGTAACAATAACTAAATTGTCTTCAATGTTCAAGGTAGACAGCATGCTTTTATAGAGTATATACAACAGCCTCAGACCCCATCTTAAGTATTAGTTTTCATACCAGTTGATAACCGTATTTCCTTCTGGTATGAAAATGATAGATTTTAAATTAAACAAACAGAGCAGTTCTTCTCACTGGCTATATAGTCCTAACCAATGAGGAATCCTACAGGGCATATATTACAAATATATAGATTTGGCTATGTTATGTAATTCATTGCTATTATATTGAGACATTAATAAGGGGAAGGAAAGCCACTCAGCTGATTGTGAAGTCATAATGCCAAAATGTTCATTTAGATGCATATCTAAATGTAATTTCCAACACACTTCCTAGTGAGAGCAGTTTCTTCTCTTGGATAATCTTGGTTAATGTTCTGTTTTGCCACACTGGCTTACAGCATTTTTACTGGGTGAGTAATGTGACAAAACGGAGCAGTGGACTGCTTGCTACAAAAGGAGTAAGGATGTAGTTCCTTTCTTGAATGTCATCTTGACCTATTGAGTACTTCTTCTCGATCACAAAAACATGAACTATTTTTCTAAATATGAGAAATGTTTACAAAATAGCAATTTCTCATTTGAGTTTGGCTAAGCTCTATTTTGAGTATGTGTCTTGTAAATATACTTTTATTCAATCATCTAAATGGACAGCAAACAAATGAAACATACCTTGGAGTAAGAATTTCTTTATACTGTAGTTTTTCCAACTTAGATGGAGCAACCAGAGACATAGGGATAACAATATTATCAATATCATAGGAGCTCTCACTTCTCAGCCGCCGTCTTGAATTTAGCTACACACACACACATAAATAAAAATTATATATTTGTTGACATTAAATGGCCACATAAAATAAAAAAACTACAGTGCACAGAACTACCCAAAGTTCTAACTTTAATATTCAAGGTAAACACCACTGAAATAATACTTTGTTATCTTTTTAAAGCTGATAATATTTTTCACTGGCTTTGGAACATATAAGCTAACTGCATTTGCTCCAGAACACTATGAAAGTATATGGTATTTGTGAAAATTGTATCATAGGTAAGAGAGTGCTAGTGGAATAAGCTAAACCAGAGAATCTGGTACACTCCATATATTGGGAGTTCAACTCCCATGAGCCCCAGCCAGAAAGACCAATGGCTGTCTGAAGAACACCAGGCTGGGGAAGTCTGGATGAAAGGATTGCACGATTTGTTTAAAAACAAATTAAATTAAACTTGAAAAGCAACTATAAAAACAAAAGTCGTTTTTAAAATGGGGCTATGGTTATAGTAAAGGGCAAGGGTTTCTGCTCAATAAAGTTTGCGTGCTTGTGTAGTGATGAGCTTTGAAGCAAAGAGTCCTCTTGCCTTATAGTCAGATAATGCCATGTTGCAATAAAAGACAGCTTGCCACCTAAGCAAAAATATTTTTGATTTCATGACATCTTTGATAATATCTGAACATCAACTGATTGATATCACCAAAGGTGGAATTTTGTGAAAGGCAAATATGTCTCTCACAGTTAAGGACAATAGAGAAACATGCTGAAGTGAGATAATGGTATGAAGTGAGCTTCAATAAAATAAAAATCAGAAAATGCAGTTCCTGCTTTGAATTTTAAAAAGCTGACTAAAATGTTTTGAATCTTTAGCCTTAAAGAAAGATGCCAACTCCATAAGCAAGCTTTAAAACAACTTAAATATACATAAAACTTAAACATAAATTTATATACTATTAGTAACATTAAATGCATTTTTGGGCTTTGTTCCTACAATACTTAAGAACAGAAGGTTTCATAATTTGGGGCATGGATCCTAACTCTCTCAAAGCAAGAATTTAATCCCTTGTAATGAGATAACCTCCCACCCACCCCAAAAGGAAATTCTGGTGCCATCATTTATGGCACTACTGTGAGGGGTTGTACACCTGTAAGGGAGAGGATGGTGCTGCTAATGACTCAGGAACCACATCTTAATCACATACCATGAATGTCATGTAAACTACACTGTGGCTACACTGGAGATATAGTTGACATGAAGAGAGCTAGATAGTTCTTCTCTGCCTGCCAGGATTAGTGTATAGCTTTTGCTGTTGCTTTCAACTCTATATGCCAAATTGGTTTAAGCAGATCAGTAGATCTAAGCTGTAAATTTTCCAGTGCATTAATGTTAACATACCTGTGATGTGGTACTGTGACTTGATCTAGACATCATGTCACCATTGGGTGATCCTGCAAAATGACTATGGGATTCCTGTTCTTCGGGAGGAAAAGAAAATGCTTCACATCTATTGTTACGTTCTCCTGCCACAAAAAGAAAAAGGGAAAGGGAAAAATCAAGATTACTTTATCTATTAGTAAACTCATTTCTATGGAATTAATTCAACGTACACACTTGAATGGCTACTTTACTCTGATGTTCCACATGCCATATTTATAGTTGCCTTTGATGTATAAATCTAGAAAAAAAATCCATTATTCACTATATTTTAAAAAAGCAGATAGATGTCAGTTTTCACAGTACTGTATGGTTTCTAGATTTACATTTATTTCCCCCCTAGTATATATTGTAAGTTATTTGCTTCATTTATAGTTAATTCTGAAAGTAAGAACAAGAAATCACATCTGTATAAGAACTACATTTATACCTTTTATCAAAGAAATGTGGTTCCATCAAGGGGCAGAGCTGTTTGAGTCTACCTTACCTGCTAGGATTTCAGAAACCAATTTTTTTCCTTATCATGAAAACAAACTTGTTCCATCTTAATTGTGTGTTTACCACACCCTTGAGCTTGGAAACATGTACTAGATGGAAGAGTATGTTGAAGCACTTAAACTGGAAATAATAAAAGAGCTGTTATCTGTAACAGTTGCTCTTTAAGTATTTTGTGCAGTCACATACATACAGGAAATCTGGCCAAAATATACCCATGATATTCTAGAATGAGGAGGCTGGAAGATTAGGAATGCTGTCCCCTGCCTGGACACATAGATTAATTTTCTGTGGATTGAGTGAGACAGCAAACAGGATGAGAACCTCTTCAAATGGGAAGATCATGAATCTTACCTCCCCCTTGCAACTGAGGATTAAAGGGCAGGAAACGTGATTGCACAAAATACTTTAAGAGCAAAAGATTTTTCATCTTCTATGTAGTCCTATCACAATGGGAGTTTGGCATGCACTAAGCTACCAGAAGGAAGAAATGGGAGATGATTACAAAAGAAGTCTACCAAGGTCAGCTTTCCCAAAGTCTGCATTTCAAAGACATGATGCTTCAGGAACACAAATGCTCATTAAATGCTGATGTGTAATACAGACTATAGAAGTATCACAAAAGTAGACTGTAGAGATAGCTGTGATAGCTATGGAGAGCCCTTTGTCAGTCTTCCTCTCTCCCCCCACCCCATCCTGTGCTCCAAGCAACAGATAAATTTGCTTAGGACATAGTATAAATTCAGAAAGTTGAAGGTTTCATGATTTGGGGCATGTTTGAGTTCATGCTCCTGAAGATTTCAAGTTGGGAAAGATGAGAAGAATCTCAAAAATTTATAAAATGCAAAGCAGGGAAATAATTTTGGCTCTAAAATGAAATCAAACACCAATCACCTTGCCTCAAGTAACTGCAAACAAAGAAGATACACTCATAGAAACACAGAAACAGAGCGAGTAAGAAGGGACCTCCCCGACCATCTAGTCCGACCCCTGGCTCCAGCCCGCTCCACTCATGACATGCCTACCATGTGCACGTCCAGCCTAATAGAACCCATGGGGTCATGCATCCATGTGTCCATCATGAGAGTTAACAGCTCACCAACAGGTCTCACTAAGCCCACAGACATCAGCATTACAGCCAATGAAAGTGCAAGTTGCAAGCAGCTCAAAAGGTCTCCCCATTAAATAGGGCAGCCAGAAGTAAGCTTCACTGGAGAACCCCAAGCTGTGAATATAATAGACTTCTTTTCCTCTTCTTTCCCCAACCAAATGGTCCCTGGTTGTCTGACCAGCTAGCCCTTTGGTCTGGTTGTCCCAAAGAAAACTACCCTCATTCATGATTTAACTGTGGGTAACAGTATGCAGTACTGAGACCTGGGTGGGGGAATGTTTTTTCCAGCTATGCCCTCTTTCATATTTGATGCAGCACCAACACAAATTTGAAAGTTGCGGAGAAGGGTTGTTGTATTTTACAGGAATTTTATTGTTAGGATGCCTCTCTATTTGAGAGCCAATCTGTTTGCATCTTATACTGGGAACCTAGGTCAGAGCAGGGATTCTGCTAGTGTACTGCCCACCCCACTATCTTTTAGTCTTCCTGCCTGAGCAGATAGAGGTGGCCATGGCATAGCATTGATGTTGAGGATCCCTAGGATCTGAGAGACCACAACTTGCATGCTCGGACCCTCAGATTTAGGAGAGCTGAGGACTTCATGGCTACCTTGACAATCCCAGCATATTGTCGATCCAATACATGGAGGAGGACACATTTTGATTTCATTTTCTCAACTGAACAAGAGGATGTTGATCTTAAACTGAGGAATGTAGTCACATCACCTCCTCCTAAGGTTTAGAATATGGACCCATTAAAACAGCTTGGCCTTGGAGGCTAACAGGCCCTGATGGATTCCAGAGAACTCTGAAAATTTTTCTTGCTGGTATAGTTTCAGTCAATATTCTGGTTTCTCTGGAATGCAGAGATGACTAGAGCAGCTCACACTTGTCCTTTTCCTTGTGAACCCAGAATCCAGGAAGCTCTTTGGAAGATGGTTAGGATGCAATGGGAGAAAGACTTGTGGCAGATACATTACCCTAGCTTATGATCAAGTTAATTTTGGAGCCTATTCTGCAGAGGGAGTTCTTTTCCCTAAGTATTGTATTTTCACAAGTGTCATACAGAACAGCTTTTCTGATAGAAAGAAAAGTTGGGATAGAAAGATTTGGGATAGAAAGAAACATGGTAGAAATCTTAGTAGTACATTCTGACATGTTTGTAAAATATTTTGAAGACAAAGTTGCTTGGAGACCACAATTACTGCAATAGATTGTCCAGTGGGCAGTTTGGTTCAATTTTATTGGATGAGTTTCAGTTGTTGAGGCCTGAGGAAGCAGACATGGTTCTTGGCTAAGCCTGCTTGACTGTTTGTGAGTCTGATCTTTGCCTAGCTTGGCTAATTGAATCAAATAAGGAGGGAAGTCTGGCAGAGTTCAGGTGGTTTACTTAACTTGTTCATTTCATTTCTATAATGCCTCACAGCTGAAGCTCTCTGGGCAGTTTACATAGTCCATAAAAACAGACAATAAATGTACAATTAAAATATAATAAAATCAGAAAAAATACTGATGTTTGAATGGCTGTTGCCAGCCGACTCTAGGCACTCTTGAATGAAACTGTTAACCTAAATCCATTTCAACTAGATTTCAGGCCTACTTTGGGAACATAAACTGCTTTGGCTGTACCATGCAATAACCCTTCCCAACAGAGGGACAGAAGAAATGTGACTGTTGATTCCTTTATACCAGGGGTGTCCAAACTTTTTGCAAGGAGGGCCAGATTTGGTGAGGGGAAAATGTGTGGGGGCGAAACATTCAGCCTGACATTCTTTGAACCATTAACATTAAATGCAAATGAACTGTTTTATGAAAGACTAAACAAATAACTTAACTGCACTAATGTGAAGGGTGATACTGAGATCTTGACTGCATTATATAGATCAGGTCTGGCCCAAAAACAGCGGTTTTGATGCGCAAGATGTCACGCAGGTGAAAGTCACTTAGTCTCGTCCTCACGCGGTTCTTGTTAATGTTCATAACCGAGAATGTCTTCTTGCACAAGTATGTTGAACCAAACAAGCTCAGCATTTTTAGCAAATGTTCGAATCTCTTGGAACCTGTCTTTATCCAGCTGGTGGTAAAAGTTGACAAGAGGGAGCTGTTGGTGCCGACTGCGACACTCGGCGTCACACTGCAGCTCAATGAGCTCTAGCTGCAGGTGGTCTGGAGCGTCATCAGGGTCCACAGAGAAAGGAGATGAAAAAAGCGTGATCTCCTTTTCAATAGCTGCAAAATCCCGAAAGCGCTGTTGAAACTCCTCAGAGACGAGATGTCTGCTTCATACCTCCTTATTTGCACACTCATATTGTTCTGTGGAAAACTGGTCATTATTTCCTGCAGCAATGGGAAATGTGTGGTATTGGGCTGCGTTTGTGACAGGTGCCTTTGGAAAAGTAGCAGCTTGGTCCCAAAGGCTTTGATATATGAATACAGTTGGCTTACCACTGCATTTTGCCCCTGAAGGCTCGTGTTCAGCACGTTCAGATGTCGTGTTATGTCAACTAAAAATCCAAAATCAGTCAGCCAAACAGGATCAGATAGCTCTGGCATCAGTTGTCCCTTCTTTGCCAAGAATTGTCCGATTTCCTCCCTAAGAGAGTAGAAGCGCTGCAGTGCAGACCCCCGAGTGAGCCATCTTACCTCATTGTGATACACAACAACTCCGTATTCAGCCTGGATGTCGAGTAGAAACTGTTGAAACTGGCGGTGGCACAGGGCTTTGGAGAGAATATAATTAATAGCCTTCATCCCTGGTTTCATAACATGATCATATTTCAGATGTTTGGCACAGAGAACTTGTTGGTGAATAATACAGTTGAGTTTTATAGCTTTGCCTCCTTCTTCGCTGACTTTGTTACAGACTAGGGTTGATAATCCACTTCGCTCGCCAGCCATGGCAGATGCGCCATCCGTAATAATCCCAGTGACTTTATTCCACAGTAGTTTCATGTCATCTACAGCGGAACAAATAGAAACAAATAAATCTGTTCCTCTTGTTTGGTCCTTAAGGCTCTGGAGGTCAAGTAGCTCTTCACTCACGTTCATGTCATTGTCCACTCCTCTCAAACAAATCAGTAACGGATGCATCTGTGCTTTCGTCACAGGCTAATGAAAAAAAGTCAAACTCCACTCCTTTTGCCTCTAACTGTCTCTTAATATCAGATGAAACGTCTTCAATTCTCCGTACCACAGTGTTACGAGTCAGGCGCACATTGGCAAACTCTTGCTTCTTCTCAGGACAAATTTTCTCCACCATTTTCATCACGCAGTCTTTAATAAATTCACCCTCAGTAAAAGGTTTGCAGTGCTTGACAATCAGCATTGCCACCTCGTAGCTTGCCTTTGTGGCATTTTCATTTGACTCACGGGCTCTTGTGAAAAAGCGTTGCTGTGTCGTTAAAGCAGCTTCCAGTTCCTTCCATTTTTCGCCGCGTTCGTTCCCAGTTAGCTTGTTGTAGTTAGCATGTTTCATCTGGTA